TGTGATCCTGCAGGGCCCGGAGGCCACGGGCCGGCCAGTCGGGGTGCAGCTAGGTCCCTCAGGGTGGCGGCCTGCTCTGCCGCTGCTCTCTCCTCTTGGGGCTGCCTTTCTCCTGAGCAGGGACAGGAGAGTCCCCATGCCCCCCTCGTTCACGAAAGGACCCTTTGCACCCGGACTCACACCTGCACACCTGCACACAGCCCTGTCTTCCCGGCTGTTTCCCAGAGTGACGTCTTAGAAGAGAGGGCGGGGTGCACAGAGGCTGTGAGGGGTCTGGTGGGACGACAGACGGGGTGGCCCCCTGCCCTTAGCGCCCTCCCTCCGTGCCGGGCCTGGGCCTCCCCTGAAGAGCCGAGACGGGAGGATGTCTGGGTTTCTGGGTGAGAAAGGGGCCTGGGGAGGGTCCCTGGCCCACAGGTGCCAGGCCCCTCCAAGGTGCAGCGTGCGTAGGTCGTCCGCCCAGCTCTCACCCCCCAGGCAGGGTTTGTGGGTGCCAGCACCCTTAGTGGGGTGTCACCAGACAACACAAGTCAGGGACAAAGGACTCTGGGTGACAGGCCCTGGACCTCTGTCCTGCGGTGACACCCACATTTGGGAACAGATGGAACTCATCAAAAATACAAATTCTGGGCCTCACTGGCCACAGCCCCTCTGGGCCTGCCTGGAACTGTTCACAGAGCCCCTGGTGACTGCCCTAGGCCCCTCCCTGGGCCTGCTGACAAAGGGCAGGCCGAGCTGACCGGGTCTTTTATTTATTTATTTTTTTTAGTTGCAAATGAACACAATATCTTCACTTTTATTTATTCATTTTTATGTGGTCCTGAGGATCGAACCCAGAGCCTCATGCATGCGATGCAAGTGCTGTACCACTGAGCCACAACCCCAGCCCCTGACCGGGTCTTTATTACACGTGGGAAGGGTGGCTGGGGCTCAGGTGAGGCGAGGATGCACCTGGAGCTGCCTGTGGGTGCAAGAAGGGGACAGTGGCCCTGGCCCTGTGGTTGGGGCATTCCATCCGTAGGGACGCCTGCCAGCCCTCTTTGGAGAGATCAGCTTGAGGAATGCAGGGCAGTGGCATCTAGCCCTCCATCTCCCTTGCCATTCATCCATTCTGTCCTGAGCACCTGCTGTATGCAGAGTCCTTTGATAGGGAATTTCTCCCGGATTAGCTGAGGGCCCCTCTGGGCCCCCCAGTCACCCCCAAGGTCTGCTCCCCGGCCCCTGCCCCTCAGTCTTCCCTACCCGGTGTACCCCTGCCTGGTGGTCTTGTGCAGGGCTCTGTAGGCTGCTTGTTGAACAGTGCCAGGCATACAGTGGTGCTCAATGAGGACCTGGGGAGTAAGTGAATGAGTGGATGAGTGGATGGAATCAAGATGAAGGAGGGTGCTGGCCACTAACCTTGGTGGCCCACCTTGGCCAGCAGACCCTGGCCCCTGGCAGCCGTGCCCTCCCTTCACCAGTCTGACCTGGGAGGCTCCTCCCACTGAGGCCCTCTGACCCTGAGGGATGCTGGAAAAGAGCCCTTGGAAAGCATGCTAGTGGGAGGGGGCCACCCTGTTTCCAGAATGTTCCAAGACCTTGAGACAGCCTGCAGGCCAGAGGCAGGGAGAGGGTGCTCAGGAGGCCCAGGGGGCTGGAAGGGCTGTGGGTGGGGAGAAGGGCTTTCGCAGACAGTGGCACCTGGAGGGAGCAGGCGCAGCTGGTGGGCACCCCAGGGTCCTGCCCCATGTCCAGAGCTCCAGGCCCCTCATGGCCTCAGGATCACCACTCACTCCCCACTCTCAAGGCTCCTCTCTCCTTGGCTGATGGGCCCCCTGTGGGGCCACTCCTCACACCCTAGCCAGTGTAGACTGGCCCTGGGCTGGGTCAGGCCCTGCTGCTCACCAACAAACAGGCCTTTCCTGCTGCACTGGCCTGGACCCTCACTCCCTGGTCATCAGAATCACCCTGAGCCTGGCCTGGCCCAGCCCTTTGCCCCACCTGTGAGCCTGGCCACCCTCCCTTCTCTGCTCCCTGCCCTTAGCCTGTCTCCACCCGGCCCCAGGGCCCTCCCCAGCTCTTGTCCTGCTCAGCAGCCCACAGTCGTCAGGCTCCAACACAGCTTAGGGCCTCCCCAAGAGCCCTCCTGTGCTCCTCCACCGGGCCCTAGACAGCCCTGGGCACTGAGGAGGGCCTTCCCAAGGGCTCAGGTGGCAACGTATGCCAAGAGCACAGCGTGATGGCAGCATGCACCACCGGCTTCACCCCACTCCAGAGGCGGTCCTGCGACCTCCTCCACCCACCCCTCCTCCAATTATTTTGAAGCAATGTTCCCATATCACATACTGCCGCCAGCAAATCCTCCAGCGCTCGTCTCTGAGGTTCGTACAGAGGAGGTGGACATGCTTGGCCTCGGCCCCTTCTTGCTGGTTCTCAGGACCGTGAGCCCGGCCACTTGCCAAGAAGTTTTCAGTCTTCTTATGTAAGTTTTTAAGATATCTGACCTATTTTAATTCATAATTCTTTTTGATGTTCAAATTGTCCTGCTGCTGATCAGACCCTTTTAAAAGTAGAAAGTGGACTCATGGGGAAACCATTTTAAGACAAAATAGCCAAGGAACTGACTCTAACGTTTCCAGTGGTAACCGACGTACGTATGTATGATTTCAAAGTAACAAGACAGTCTGCCCTCCATGCCTGCAGGTTCTGCATCCACAAGTCCAACCAACCCCAGTTGGCAAATATTTGAGAAGCAAACTGCCTGTACTGAACATGTACGGACTTTTTCTTGTTATAATCCCCTAAACAGTACAGCGTAACGACGATTTAAGTACATTTCTGCCGTGTTCAGTATTACGAGGAGCCTAGAGGGGATTGACGTGGCCCTGGGCCAGTGCCACACTGTTTCACATAAGGACTTGAACCTCCAAGGATTTTGATATGGGAGGGTGTCCTGAGACCATCCCCTGTGGATTCTGAGGGATGACTGACTGTGCCAGCTTATTACTAGCCGTATATTCTTGGTGTTGCTTTGGCCCCTTGCAGATGGGTGGGCTCTCGACCACCACGCTGCAGTGTGCGGCTGTACCATAGCAGAATTCCACCGATCCAAGGGCACTGGGTTTTGCTGGTATAAATGGTGGAGTGAGGCAAAGCCTCACATCTGTACCATTCTCTGGTGAGTCTTTGGGTTAGTTCCTAGCAGCGTGACTTTCGGGTAAAAGGGTACAAGCACTTTTGCTAATATTGTCAGAATTTCCTCCCCATGGGTGACTGGGAAAGCACCTGCCACCTGGCTTCTCCCGAGAGCATGACATCAAACRTCTGGATTTTCGCCCATCAGATAGCAAGCAATGGTCTCAGAGTGTACTTTATATCTGCGTTTTGCTCGTTAGGAGTGAGGCAGCGCGTTCCTTTACAGAGGCACAGGCCCCATCTCTCTTCCTGTGCGCTGTTCCCCAGGACTGTCCCTTTGCGGTCCCCAGTTTCAGGTGTTCTTTATGTATCAGTGATTAATCCTTTGCCTGTGAGGGGAATCGCAAATACTCCCTCCCGTTCGCCACTCACCCTTTTACTTTGCCAAGGGCGGTCTCCTTTTCCTTGACTATGGCCTCTAGAGCCTACGCGGTCGTAGGCTCTCCCGCCCCCTCGTCCCTTCTTACAGAATACGCAGTTTCACTTGACTTTTCCTTGAAAGCCTAGGATCCATCTGGAAGTTATTCTTGGGCATGGTGTGAGAGGGGCCTTGTCTCCTGGCTCTATCAACATGCTTATTCAACACTCATCTTCCCCCCGACCCGAGACACAGGCGCCGGTCACTTTGGCGTGCCTTCACCCAGAAAGTTACAGAATGCCTGCTGGCAGCCGCAGTCAGCTCCTTCCCTGCCCATTTTGTATTCAGGTGGCAAGTGGGACGTCCCCCTAGCCTGTGGGTCCCCTCAGTCTCCCAACACCTGCCCCCCTAACCTGCTGGGACTTCTCTCAGCAAACAGTACTGGGCCCCAGTCTAGAGCTGACCCCCGATGCCCACCACAGAGCTGAGAGCCCTGGGCGCTCAGTGAACACCTGCAGGCATCTTGCCACAGTCCCCTGGCTGCAGGGAATCACAGCTGAGCTCCATGCTCCTCCAGAGAGGGGGAGGGGCTGGCCACGTGGGAGAACTGGGTCCAGCACAGGCCTGGGGCCCCAAGTGCAGAGCTGGCCACCACACCCCTCACCTCCACATCCACCCTGGGAACCAAGTGCCTGTCAACCCAGGTTCAGGAGCAAGGAGAGTGAGGAGAGCCAGAGGACAAGGAGCCCATTCTCTATGTCCCTGGGGTGGCTCAGATATTTCTCCCTGACCTGCCCAGGCAGCCAGCCCCACCTGTGCCCAGCAGTCAAACCTGGGTCAGCCCACACCGCCAGGCTTCCAAGGCGCTGTCCCAGACGGTCTGCTAATAGCTCTTTCTCACCTCCCCAGTGCCTGGGCCTTAGTGGGCAGATTTCAGCGCATTCTCCTGGGGCCCCAGAGGCCAACACCTCCTCACCCCCGTGCGCCTCAGGACGCCCCTCTCTACTCCTTGCCTCCCCGGAAAGGCTCAGAGGGCGGGAAAATGGGTGCCTGCATCCTAACCGGCCTGGGGAGCTCATTCGCGGTGGCGGCACCTGCTGGCTCCCGGGCTGTCCTCCCCGCCTTGGCTGGGGACCTCCGGAGACAGGCGGGAATGAGGAGCTGGGTGCAAACACGTGGGCGAGAACCGGGTTCAGCGGGTGAGCGCGGAAGGGAAGAGGAGAACAGGTGGGCACCSGCAGCTCTCCGAGCACGCGGGGCGGTCGAGGGCGGGTGCTCGAGAGGGGCGGGGCCTGTGGTCCCCCGGGACGGCCCGAGGCTCCCGCCCACGCCGGCCCCGCCCCACCCCCGGGCGGGGCGGGCAGCGGCCCCGGTGGCGGGGCTGGCAGCCTCGGCCACTGGCCGACAGTGTGCCCAGGCGCCCGCCTTCGCTGCAGCTACCGTGCAGCCCCCGGGGCCCTGCCTCGCTATGGCCGCGGCCTCCTCCCCGCCCAGGACTGAGAGGAAGCGCGGGGGCTGGGGCCGCCTGCTGGGCGCCCGGCGGGGCAGCGCGGGCCTGGCCAAGAAGTGCCCCTTCTCCCTGGAGCTGGCAGAGGGCGGCCCGACGGGCGGCACGCTCTATGCTCCCGTCGCGCCTTCCGGCGTCCTGGGGCCAGCGTCCCCCACGACCCCCGCTGCGCCCTCGGCGCCCCCGGTCGTCGCCGACCTCGGCCCGCGGCCGCCAGTGAGCCTCGACCCGCGGGTCTCCATCTACAGCGTGCGCCGCCCGCTGCTCGCGCGCACCCACGTCCAGGGCCGCGTCTACAACTTCCTCGAGCGCCCCACGGGCTGGAAGTGCTTCGTCTACCACTTCGCTGTGTGAGTACCGCGAGTCGCCCCGGGACACCTGCGGAGGGGCTGGCAGGGGAGCGTGGTCTCTGCCCCCCTGCTCCGGCTGGACCCCCGCCCCAGCCTTGACCCCGGGCAGCCGCGAGGGGAGGGAGGTGTTAACGGGAAACAAGTTTGTTTCAGGTCCCATGAAGTTCAGGGACATTGCTGGTCAGGGGGGGACTTCTCAAGGCCCTGCCCTCGGGCGTGGGGAGGGGTGCCCCGGACCAGAGGTTGGCTCACTCCTCCCTGGAGGGCTGTCCAGTGGAAATACTCTGGGAAGAGAAGGAGCGCTCACCCTTGGGTGCAGCGAGAGAATCCCCCTGGGTTGGCCGGGAGAGGAGCCTCAGGAGCCCCCAGGAGAGGAGGTGCGGACGCTCAGACCTGGGAGGCCCAGGTGGGTCTCAGTCTGGCCGGCAGGTGCACAGGCCTTCCCCCGGGCTGCAGAGTACCCACGGGTCCTCATAAACCCAAGCTCATAAAACCTGGGAGGGTGCAGAGGGGCCGGTTTTCAGGCATCCATCAAAGGAGTCTGTGCTCCCCCAGGGAGAGGGCTGGCAGCAGCACCTGGCCCTTRCTGCTCCAGGTGGTTCCCACTCCTGCGGGCGGGGCGCAGGCTTGGCACTTGATTTCTCAAGGACAGGGGCACAGGAAGTTACCTCCCAGAGGGTCAGGCTGCTCTCCTTGCTGCCTCCCCTGCCGTCCTGTGGTGCTACTTCCTGGCTGCCCAGCCAGTGGCTTCTTGGTGTCTTGCCAACCTCTGGCCTGTGAGTCTGCTCAGATGTCCCCTCACTGATTGCTGTGGGGCTCCTTTAGGGCTGCYTGGGGTGGCCTGCTGGTGGCCTCCACGGGTGGAGTGTGCTTAGTTCTGCCGCCTGGGCTGGGCCTGGGAGGTGCCCAGGGACCTGTTCACCCCCACTGTACTTGTCGCCAGGGCCCCAGGTTGTAGCAGGAGCTGGCTCAGGTMGCTCTCCTGCTTGTGAAGAGAAGTGGGACCTTCCACAGCAGGAAGGGCAGGTCTCGGGGCATGGGAGCCAGGGCCATGCAGGTCTGGGGGAGGTGGAGGCTCTGCATCAGCCGTAGCTACAGCATCTGGGGATTTGGGGAACATTTGTGTGCAGTGACCCTAAGGGACCCCACCTGAGTCCAGCCCTGCTGTGAAAATGTTCTAGAAATAGCAGGCTGGTGGGCATGCTGTGTGGATGGACTGCCTGCCTCCCAGCACTCCCCCACCAGACCCCAAACTATGTGTGATGCTGAGGGTGGGGGAGAGAGTGTGGACCCCAAGCAGATGCTGGAGAAGACCTTCGCTGTCAGCTCTTGGTCCAGGAACCTCACCTGCCAAGGCACTGTGCCTCCAGGCAGCCACCGGATGGGATGGCACGCCAGGGTGCAGGCCAGGGGTGAGCATCACCTGTGCTCCAGCTGCAGCGCGGGGCAGAGGAAAAGGGCTCGCCATGCCCCAGAGGAAGTCTCTGCTTACACTGCGTTTTCTTCCTGATTAGGATTGTTCAGCCTCGGAAGTTTGCTCAGCGGAGTCTGCCTTCGCCCAGTCTCCCGGAGGCCGGGCAGCGGCAGCTCCTGTGATGTGGAGGGTGGGGGAAAGGGATGCTGGTGTGAGGTAGCGGAGGGGCAGTGGTCAGCCTTTTCCAGCTGCAGGCCCCTGGTCCTGTGAGAGGTGTGGCTGGCCCTGAGGGGTTGTCATGAACATCTTCCACCATCTCGGGGAAGGGCTGCAGGTGGACCCTGGCTGGGCAGAGCATGTGGCTTGCCTGGGACAGGAGAAGGGGTTCCCTCACCCCCAGAGTCTCCAAGAGGTAGGCGGGGCCCTCGGATTGTCCAGTCTGCTTGGGGGAGGCCTGGCCAGGAGCTGGGATCCCGTGGGGGCTGGAGCCTGGCTGCAGCCTCAGGAACCGTGTAGTCCGTGCCCGGCTGGCCCGGAGTTGCTGTATGAAGTCACAGATGGTTGGGGGACGAGAGCAGGCTCTGTCCTTGGTAAGGCGGACTGGGAGACATGAGGGATTTGGTTTCTGGGCCCAAAGAGGAGAGCCTACCCCGGAGGGCTGGGTCCTATGTGGGGAGGGGGGCAAGGTAGGGACTGGCGTCCTGCAGGCCTGGACATGCGTTACCTTGTGCAGCTGGGGAAGCAGGCCCGGACATCCTGTCCCCTCCTTGGGGAACCCCTGCTCCGGCCCAAGGAGAGCAGCCCTTCCTGTGTCCGTTCTGGCCTTCCCTGGCTGGCCAGGGAGCAGGACGCATACCCGGGCACTGCCCTTTGCTTTATTGGGCTTCCTGTCCCCCTTCACCCCAGTTCTCTTTCATGGCCTTTACTTCCCCACTGTGGGGTAACTCCCACCCTGCTGAGGGCACACGGGCCAGGTGGGCCCAAGCCACCTTTCCAGTGGGCCTTGGCAGGGTCTGGCTGCTGGCCACCTGGAATCCTGGTTGTGACTGAGGGATTTGGAGAAGAGGCACAGAGAGGAACCTTTCCCCTTCCCTGTACTCGAACCCAGACTGGGCTGGCTCGGCCCTCCTGTCCCCACTCTCCCACATCCCTGGCTCTCCCGGGTTCCCAAGAACCTTCTGGTGTCTTTTGGCAGCCCCTCACAGCATGTGTTAATCATTGACGGAACCTGCCAGGGGCCTGGTGGTTTATTGGGCTGGTCTGGCTGCTGGGCCCAGAGCAGGAGCCATCTCACCCTGACTGTGGCCCAGAGAAGCCACCCTGCAGACCTGGGAATGGAGCTGGGCAGGTGGAGGGTGGCCAGCTGACCTGTGGGTTGGGCTCAGGGGGAAGGGGCTCTCTGGGTGGCCAAGTCTCTCTCCCTCTGTCCCCTTCAAACCCTGCCACCTGTTCCTCARCCCTGGATTCCAGGTAAAACTGATTTCCTTTTGGGGTTTCTCCCTGTGTGCCTCCTCTGGGGCCCTGGCAGTCCAGAGACCCCTCAGCAGACCCCTGCTGCAGAACCAGCCCCATGTTTCTGGAGGTGCTGTGGCCCGAGCACTGAGCGCCTCTGCCTGGCCTGACCGTGGTTGGAGGCCCACAGGCATCTCTTGTGCCAGGCCTGGGGAGGGATTGGGGGTCATTCAGGTGGAGGAAGAACTTGAAGCCCCCTGCAGAAGGGTCTCCACGGCCTGCACAGAGGCCTGGGGTCAGGAGGAGGCCTGAGGTCCCACATCCTCGCAGGGCTGCTGGGTGGAGCAGGGCTCCAGGGCTGGCAGCAGGCAGTGTCAAGCTAAGTGGCGGTGGGACCCGCGGAGGCCAGGCAAGGTGCCTGTGCTCACCCCCAGTGCGGGAGCAGCCACCCACAGGCGATGCTTTCAGGCCTTAAGGGGCCCGGTGTCCTGCCGCTGGCACGAAGGCCAGGTCCTGAGCTGGCTCTTCTGGTGAAGTACCCTGGCGGGTGTGGTCAGGTCTCCTCAGAGCCCAGCAGTCCCTGAATGGCGCTGYGTGCAGGCCTGCAGGTCAGGGCGCCCGAGTCGCCTCCCTCGCCAGCTCCTGGGCCAGGGCTGCTGCTGGCCTGCCCTGCCCTTGCTGAGCAGCCAGGCCGCCGAGGGGGCTCTGGCCTCTGGCACCTGCCAGCCCGCTCCCAACCTGGCCCAGGCAGGGCCCCTGCCTCCCCTCCACCCAGCCCTCTCGGTGGAGAAGTGGACCCAGCGGCGCCCAGGGCCCTGCAGCCGGACATTCCCAGCCAGCTGTCGGCTTCTGCACATTTTCCCATGATCTAATTCCCCGTCCGCCATCAAGAAGGTTGGGCTGGAGGACTGGGCCGCAGGTGCCAGAGGTGGGCCACGGCTGCCAAGGATGGTGGTCTCCAGGGAGGATGTTCCAGGACCGGAAGGAGCCGTGGGTGTGTGGCCAGTGTGCCAGGATGCTCCACGCTGCTCCCTCGGCGGTGTGCTGAGGAAGCTTCTGGAAGTGTGTTGCGCCCAGCCTCGGCTTCCGACAGGGTCTGAGGCCCACATGCTGACACGTGGGCTGCTCAGACTGAGGCCTGGGGTTTGGCTTGGGTGCTGGGGAAGCACCGTGGAGCAGGGGTGCTATGTCGGAGGCTGGCCTGGGCTGGTCCTGTAGAGGAGGGGCCCCACAGGTGCCTTGGAGCCCAAATGTGTGGGGTAGGTGGCCCATGGGTGACCCTGATCCCCCACTCCCATGATGCTCTATGCAGGGCCCCTGTGGGCATGGAGGCGAGACGTTGGTGTCCACACCTTCTCCTGTGGACGCTCGTTCCTCTCCAGTGGCCACTGAGCATGAGAAAGCCCAGAGCTGGGGCAGGACTGCCGGGCGGATGACAGCAGCAGGAGATTGTGGCTGCTCTGCTGTCGGCGGAGTGACCACGGGACCTGGGCCTGACTCTCCATGTGCTTCTGAGCACGTGAGAGGCCTTGGCCTCTGTGGTTGTTTGTCTCCTGCTGCCCTGCCCAACCTGGCCCCTTTTCTGGGCTCTGTGTGGGTGCTGACCAGGGTAGGGGACCTCTGGGCTCTATCCAGGGGACTTGGGGAAGCATGGAGGGGCATAGCAAGGCTGAAGTCAGGAAGAGGGTCCACTGTCTGCCTAGGTAGGCCCTTGGCCGTGTGCAGCTGGGAACCCTGGGCTCAGAGAGGGCAGGCTACCTGTCCAAGGCCACACAGCTATGTGTGTTCAAGGCTGCCTGGACAGGGCCTTGGACTCAGCAGCCAGGGCCTCATGCCTCCTCTGAGCCCCTCTTCCACCTTGGGTTGGTGGGGGTCACAACATCTACCCTTTGGCTGTGTGAGGAAAGAGGGCTGCCCTGTGCTGAAAGGAGAGGAGAGAAAGCCCCCGGGCAAGGGGAAGCTGCTGCTGAGTGGGTGGTGGACGGAGACCAGTACTGTCCTCAGCCACGGCTGGGGAACCCACCTCAGTGCCTGTCCTGGGGGTGGGGAGGCCACTCCCAGGCACCTTTGACCTGGCTGCTTCCTGTGCCCGGAAGCCCTGCTGCCCAGGGCTACTGCCATCGCTCAGCGCGGG